GAACGAAGAAACATTATTATCAAGAACGAGCGCAACGTAAACTTACACTCCCTATAGAACAAGAAATCGAAGTCGAAGCCAAAAGTCGTTCCGCGTAAACGAATGCAGGGCAGTGTTTACGTTGGACTGAGCGGTTTTTCGATGACTGAAACAAGCAACAGGCGGATATATGCTTGCTTCGAATTTCAGGCAAATTTCCCGACCTTGTTAGCTTGCTCGCGGCCCATTCGCTTCGCTCGATATAAGCTCCTTTCCATCTTAAAAAGAAGAAAAAAAGGAAAACTTCAACAGGAATAACAAGAATCGGGAAGGTTGTCACAGAATACTTCAGATTTCGTTGGAGGAACGAGAGGGAAATTGGGGTTGCGTCGGTAGATGCAAAAAGAACTAAATTGTTAGATAAGCTAATGCAGGGTTTTATTTTACGTCACTCAATCTCTCTCTCTTCTCTCTCTCTCTCTCTCTCTCTTCTCTCTCTCTCTCTCTCTCTCTCTCTCTCTCTCTCTCTCTCTCTCTCTCTCTCTCTCTCTTCTCCTCTCTCTCTCTCTCTCTCCTCTCTCTCTCTCTCTCTCTCCTCTCTCTCTTCCTCTCTCTCTCTTCTCTCTCTCTCTCTCTCTCTCTCTCCTCTCTCTCTCCTCTCTCTCTCTCTCTCTCTCTCTCTCTCCTCTCTCTTCCTCTCTCTCTCTTCTCTTCTCTCTCCCTCTTCTCTCCCTCTCTCCTCTCCTCTCTCTCTCTTCTCTCTCTCTCTCTCTCTCTCTCTCTCTCTCTCTCCTCTCTCTCCTTCTCTCTCTCTCTCTCTTTCCTCTTTCCTCTTCTCTCTGCCTCTTCCTCTTCCTCTTCCTCTTCCTCTCTTTCTTCCTCTTCTCTTTCTCTTCTCTCTTTTCTCTCCTCTTTTTCCCTCTTCTCTCTCATTCTCTCTCTCTCTTATCCCTTATCTTTTCTTTCGTCCTCATTCTCTGTACAATCAAAAATGGCCAAGATAAAGCACAACTAATGATTTCATTACCGAGAAAATTAGATAAGATTACACAGCAATTAAAAATCACAAAAATATTGAAATCTTGCCCACTTCCGTTGCCTGAAAGTGGTTCATAAACCATCACGTTTGTAAGTGTGGTGTGTGTGTTGTGTGTGTGTTGTGTGTGTGTATTTGTATGAGCGTATTATGGTGGTTGGAGTACACAGTGTTAGTGATATATTTTTGCGTGTGTGTATGTTTGTGTGCGTGCATTCCTCTAAACATACTCTGTGTGGACGGGAGCCAAAGCGCCGCCGTGGCCTCAACCCTACAATATACTCCTTGCAATCGAGATTTCTCTTTTAATCAACTGA